GGGATGCATGGCACCCTCGATTGGCAGTCCTTCATGACAAGCTCGAGTACGGTCACGGAGCAGGAGATGCGGAACCCTTCCAACCACCCCTTCAGCCATAGCAAGTTTTTCACCTTCGATGAGGATGTTCGGATTTATCGTATGCTGCGAGGGGGGGCCACAGTCCGGCAGGTCGCCCGTACGCTAGGGAAGCCCGCCACCTTCATTGAGCGTCGTCTGAACAACGCACAGTTTAAGCTTCGGATTCAGTGGGTCCTCCGGCGTGCGAAACGGGAAGAGAATTCGGAGAAGAAGCATAGCAAAGATTATCGCGCGAGGCCGGGGCCGACGGGTTCCGCACCAGTTGTCGAAAACTTCCACGAACGACTCCTAAGGCGCTCCCCCTACGACAAAACCTCTCATGATTTCTCCGCTGCTGTCGAGGATTCACCACGGAGAAGACAAGAATGGGAAGAAACCCCTCCTTCTTGGCGGAAGCCTCGCTATTTCGAGCAGCTATCCATGGCGGAAAAGTTTGATCAGGTCACACGTTCTCCCAACGATAATAGTTCCACAGATCCTTATTCGCCTTCTATTCCTTCGCGTCCAGTAGCATCGAAGGTTGGGCAATCGTATGCAAATTATAGCCGACTTAATACAGCCATGCAAAGAAGGTAAAATAATGATTAAACGCACAGGAAAGAGATAAATAGGATCGTGTTGTTGTTGTTCTAGTATTAAGGGGTTGGAGGTTACATATGTGAAGAAATTCCACATACTGTCTTTGCAGTATAGTCCTTGAGGTGAATTATTCTCTATGTAGTTTTTCAACTTTAATCCATCACTTTAATTTACACATGAACCTTTTTAGCATCCCTTGTCCTTGTTGGCTTTTGAATTAAACCTTTTAGTGTAGACAGCTGTTTGTTTACTTATAAGTTTATAGAAGTGTGTGTGTAGGAAATGACCAAATTCCCTTTGATTATCGGCAGTTCTTTCCATTTTGAGCTAATACTAAGTTGGACTGATCCATCCGTTTTTCTAGTGTTTTTTTTGCATTGATTATACACTCTCTGTGATATTGAGGGGAAAGTTCTGTTGTAGTGATTTTCACACAAACCTTGAATTTGTTGCAAGACTTTTCAGATGTGTGAGTGGGGTGATCGCCGCGTTTGCAGATAGCAACCTAAAAAAAAGTAATTTTCATAACAATAATTAAAAAAATGAATAATGTAATCAGAACATATGACTTCTATCCGACTTAAACTCATCAACCGCGTAGTATCTACACACATTAGTAAGCAGGTTTAGTTTCTTCTACACAAGTGCGCAAGGGAAGTTTAAATCTACAAAAAAAAATTAATACTAATAAATATTTCTCAAAAAAATAGGACAATGCGCTGTTGGCGATCAACTATATTGAGAATATGTAGCCTCGCGGGATCAAACACCGCGCGTTTCCCTCTTATTCCGTCTTTCGCATCACACGGTACCACCTTTTTTGCCACCGCAACTCCACCTTCCATATCAAGCCTTCCTTTACAGGAAGAGATGCAGGCGAAGGGCTTTGTAAACTCCACTCCGAACTTTTCCTACAATTTCTCAGATGCAACCTCGACTTCCGATTCTTCCGTCCCGTTTGCTTTTCAAACTACCCCCGCGTTGGGGGTGGATCTCATAAAGGATCTTCATGGGCCATGGTTAGTAATGACCGACGACCTACAGGGAGAGCTTTTTGTCGACCATGACGCCTTTCTTTACTACCGCCCGGCGAACGGCATCGGCTACGGCGTGGGCAAGATAAATCTCCTCAGCGGCGAGAGCGAGCTCGGCAGCGCCTTTGACGCTACGCTTATGGTGTATAGTTATTCCCAAACCGAACGATTCGCCCCCCTACACGGCATCACTCTACAGATTACGGGAATGGTGAATAAGGTCTCCGCGAAGCCCCCTCAGTCGTATACGACATTTTCGCTTATCGGAATTTGGCAAAAGGACGATCCGAATGCGGATCCAAACCAAGACGGGAACCTTTCTCTCGGAGATTCTTATAATCAAGGCAAACTTGCAAATAATGAGGGTCTTCAGCAGGAGGCAAAGGGCGCCGAAATGGATGCGAGCACGATGCAGGAGGATTCATCTCAATTACCAAACACTTCGGATAAAAATAAAACTAAAAATAATAATATTAGAAAGACTGGACAGTTTAACGCGGCGAAGCTCTCGCCGTGGGTTCCAACGCCGAAGGATGCCCCTTGGCAGCCAAATGAGGAGCTCCAGTCCATGCTTAAACAAGTTTTCCCACAGGATCTGAAGCTCACTTCACATCTCCGCCGCGCGGCGGAATCTAAAGAGGCACATGCCCGCGTTTTCACCCCATCTTCCGGAAAGGAGAAGGACGTGGATAAAGACGAGGAGCTTCTTTCCGTGATCTTCCGACCAAACCCACTCCATCATATCGACCTTTCCCAATACAAAGTCGGGCGTATCCCTCACATCTACTACATTCCCGACTACATCAACGAGGACGAGGAGCGACAGATTCTCGAATTTGTGAAAAACACCCCGAAGGAGCTCAAATCATCGCTGACAAAGCGCACAGCGCAGGAGTGGGGCTGCTCCATGTGTGAGGAATGTCGTCAGAGCTTTGTGAGCGACGCGAATATGCCGGATTGGGTCCAGCAATGCACGGACATGCTCGTTCACGATGGGATTTTCGGCCCTAGCACCTTCCCGAACTCCGTGCGGGTTCACGAGTACGAAAAGGGGGAGGGCATCGGCCCCCACACCGACGGCCCGATTTACCTCCCGCAGGTGAGTGTGCTTTCTCTGGCCTCGACCTCCGTGATGGGGTTTTACCCCCACACCCCCCTTCATCTGGAGAACCCGATGGAGCACTACAACGACACGTTTAAATTCGAAACGGCGCGGGGGCGGCGGCTGGAGACGATCGTGATGGAGCCCCGCTCCCTGCTGATCTTCCGTGGGGCCGCCTATTATTATCACCCCCACGGCGTCTCGGACGAGGAGGTTGAGGAACTCACGTCGGAGGTCGCGAATCGCCATTTTTTACGGGAGAAGGATATCATGCGGGTGGAGAGGCGGTATCGCGTGAGTCTCACGACGAGGAATCTTCTCACACGGTGCAATCACCAGCCGAATCGGGCGGAATACAATATGAAACGCATGTGGCATCTTTATCATCACCTGCCACTACCAAATCCGCTTTTTACTCCCTCTCCCCTTATCGTCAAGGAGGATTCTGGTATTACAACAGAATCTTCTTCTTCTCCTTCTTACCCTTCATCATCGTCATCTTCGTTAAATTCTATAGGGCCTCTTTCGCCAAAACTGATGGAAAAGTGGGAAAGTAAGATGGATCGTATTTTCACCCAGCAAGCGGCACTATCGGCGGAGGTGAAGGAGCTCAAAATGCTTTTGGCAGGGTTCATCTCCACCGGGAATAGCTACCAAAAGGAGACGGCCGGTGTGCTTAACGGCCTTACAAAATCTCTCCTTGAGGTAGATTCCAAACTTGAGGATCTGATGGATACAGTACAGATTCAAAAATAGAACATTTCAGGTTCCATAAATATTCATGACGGAGTTCAGTATCAAAACAAGAAGATGATTAAAGGCATTGTCTAAAAAATTTTAATCGGTGGCAAACACATATAATAAGAGAAGGGAGTAACATTTATCCAAAGGTTTGAAAAAGAAGTGAATACGGTTAATAAAGGTAGTAAAGTCGTTTCCTTCTCCCTTAGCCCCTTCCTTCCCC